ATGAACGTGAAGATGACTGAGGAAACTGTGAATGAGAGCAACGGATCACTGCACAAAGAAGACTTGCTAGCCATTTAGACGTTCTTACACGATGGCCATCTCACAAACAGAGCTCTCACTCAATTGTTGGCACATGTTGGCTAAGCATCTCGAACAACTGGTTTGGTCTCAACGTAAATTTTAATCACTTCTTATCATTTATTGCATGATCCAATGTAATAAACTTGAGTGCCGAGTGTGCAATGGATGGTAAGCCAGAGAAAAAAAGATGTTCAGTCAAGTGTCTTTTGGCTGCAGTCATTACCCTAAGTCAAAACTTTGTACCTAGCGTTATATTTAATGAATAAGGATCAACACGTTACAAGGCCTTATTCTCAGTAAATAAACTCAGTGTCTTTCAGGACGTGCTCGTTATTATCTTACCAGATCCTTCAACATTCGGCATTTGTATCCTCATCTCGTACAGCTTTGTCACCTCAGGCTACTTGTCATTTATTTACTACCTGATAAACGTACGTTATTTGAACTCATAAAATGACTCAGGATGTTAGGAAATAAATGGCAATTTAAAAGAATACAATTATCAAGGCCATAATCCTTATAGCCACCGAGTAACTCAAGTGAACACTAGTAAGATGTAGTCGCAACTTTTGATGTCACATAATACCATCGATTTTCTGTCCGTCTGATAGATCCATGAATTCTTTTAAGCATCCACCATCAAGGAACCGACAATCTACGACACATGATAACAACGAACAACAGCACACGTATTTATGATGTTTTTACATTTCGAATAAATTCATTTCAGCTTCAGTTAATTCAGTTTTAACGGTAATGAAACTCATGGATGGAATTTTATTCAAGAACCTAGTACGAACCGACTAGATAATAGAAAATATTGTGGGTATGGCATTGGTTCCTGAAATTCGTATTGAAACAATGAGTGTGGCGCAGTAACTAGAGGTGCCTGGCAGCATAGATTTGGTCGTTAGTCCGAAGCCCGACTTCAGGCATAAAGGGCCTTGCTTCAGTAAAATAGTGTCAAATTCGTCTGAAAAGATAGAAAACACTGTCTTATACTTCCACAGTCCTTCGGCAGTCATTATATATGCCAACTATGCACTAATTACCTCTGCTATGCTTAGCGGAGTCGAATACATGCCCAACCCTGGGGGTTTGATCAACGCCAAACACTTTATCCTTTGCAAAATAGGAGAAACTACTTATATACTGTGAGAGAAAAGGTTTGCAAATCATTTGCTTTGTAGAACAATCCATATTCATTTTTGTGAGGTCGCTGTTATGTTCCTTTAACTTTAACTGGCGACATTGTTTTTTTTTACTTAAGAACTGCTTTTGTTGAGCTGACGCGAGTTTGGTACCAGTTGTTGTTACTGCTGTCGTTGTTGCTGTGGTTCCATGGTTAACGTTTTGGCGACTTTACCTTATCCACTTTCAAAGCCACTTTACTAGGTGTAGGACCACCCAGTGCAACTTCTTCCTGCGAACGCGTATTTTTGAATTTTTCTTTTTATTAGGAGCAACTGGTTTGAAAACTCGGTCTCCAGACGTTGTAGCCTATCTAGGCATCACCCATGCACCATATGAGCAATTTTTTGTCGGCCGAGGACTATATAGTTTTGACGATAAAAATTACCTTTCAGTAGCTAGAGGACTTGAGAAGCTGTGATCAAGAGAGAGTTGTAGAGGACTCCATATTGTAACATAAGTGTGATTAATATGTATGCTACTTATTCGCTGTTTTCCTTACAATGATTCTGTTTTGGTACATTTTAAACCTGGAAATTTTATGGTATCACCTAAACGATTGAAATGAAATAACAGTTAATTGTTAGTCAAATTAATAGTCAATAAAGTTTTTAGAAAAAAAGATTTTCGTAAACCATCAAGTGTAGATAATGGCTTTTTAGGCCACATTCTTCCTACCTATATCTGCTTTAAATTAGCTATCGAACGGATATACATAGGGCGGTAATAAAGTTAACCCATTGGACTGAAAATGACAACACAGTGAATAGTGCATTAGCAACTACTGTGATGCTGAGTTATTTGCAAAAGTTGGAGCAGAGCCCAGATTGAACTTGCGATTTATCCGGAAGCTCACGTGTTTTCCAATGCACCCACTGAGGCCCTTGCTTTGTCTTTCTCTTAAATATATTTATCAACCTCGTGCAAGCTTATCAAGAAAGAATACATATAACAGCGACTGTTTGGCTTATAGTTACCTACTTGGGTACTTGGAGGGCTCGTCCTCACTGGTTATGAGGGCCCCAGCATAATCTTCATTTTTCACAGTTTTGCTGGTTTAGTCATTGTATTTTTCTGGAATCCTGAGGTCAGTCTGGCCACAGTCTGCCCCAGGTTGTCACTACCACAGACAGTCGTGGCCCTTGTGGATCAAAGGATGATTTACTACCATGCGACTACTTCGATACCAGGACGGTAATCGATCCTGGTATTACTTCAATGATGTCAATGACGCTATTGTCCTTACCGGGGATTAGCGCACTTCACCACCACACCATCCGGGTCCTTCGTTTTGCCTGTCTCTCAGCTATTTCTATCGATCTTTTGCCATTAGCAATCACCCGTCAACGGGATTGATCTGGGGGGCTCAAATCGGCAACGAACCCAGTTAAGCTGAGGCCGCAGTTATAATCACAATTTAACGTATTATTTACTGCCTACTCTTTTTGACGGCAGGGTTTACTTGTGAAATATAACTTCAATGATGCTGAGATATTTGCAACACTCCGGACCGGAGTGTGGTGGTGAAGTGCGCTACTCCTCGGTAAGGACAATAGCGCGTTCGTTCCCCACCGCATACACCTGCGGTCCGGGGTTTTGCAAATTTCTCAGCATCACTGAAGTTATATTTCACAATGTATACCCTGCCGTTAAAAAGAGTAGGCAGTAAATAATACGTTAAATTGATCCTGGTATTAGTTTACTCTTAGCTCGGATTCTTGGTGGAAATCTCCCTCAACTGCTTCTTCTTAGTGAATTTATACGCACTAGCTAAACTCTACTGATCTTCTAAGCAATCGTGAGACCGAATCACATTCCACAGTGATGGATGGGACATAAAGAAGCACTAAGAGTGAGACTTACTTTACTGACAGTCAAAGTATGCACACTAAGTTCTCTTTTAAGGACTGCTACGGTTCATTAATCTATTTATTTACACATAATCATATACGTTTAAATGTGATATCTTGCTAGCGAACGAATTGTATTTTAAAAGTCGACTCTGATCGGAGCCATGAAAAGTCGTGAAGGACAAACGACTACCTCGAATAAACAAGCTCCAAATACACTTTACATCTAAAGGACTGATAAGTCACTATTATGCATATTAAGGCTCATAAACCTCCGTAGAGGAACCATCGGCTACGCTTTAGTCAGAGAGTAAAAAAAAGCCCTGGAAAGGCAAAAACGAATAGTGCGGTAGTACTTAATTGTGACATACTCCTAAGGGCACTTGTAGCGCAGTGGTTAGAGCTGTCCTGCAATACACATGCGATCGATTGCGCACCGCAGGCTCATCAACCTCTCGTTCCCTGCGGAGTCGGCAAGTTGGTACCAGACTTGTCTGTGAGAATAGTAGCACTGATTCGATACATCGGCAAGCCACCGTGAGTCAGTGTACAGGCCAGTTATGTGTTCAATCACCTCCATATTGATTGTCAGTAAAAAGTTAAAGGATAAAACTCTCGACGTTTATCGATCCTAGGGTGATGCGCCATGCATTTGACTTCACCAGACATCCATCGTCAGAGGTGATTTAATGCATGTATGGCCTATACAATGACTCGCGGTGACCTAGCGATGTATCGACTCAGCGCTACTATCCTTTCGGAGAGGTTTGCTACTAATTTGCCAACCACGGAGGATGAAAAGCTTAGCAGGCCTGGAGGGTGGGGACCGACCACATGTGCACAGGAAGGCGCACCCGAGCACTGCGCTACACGTGCCTGCGTCCAGTGATATATTCGACGCGTGCATATACACACACCCACACCCTCAAACCGTATGCATGTCCAGGCACTCCGCTCAAGCTCGCTCACATACTCACGCGAGAAAAAGCCACATAACATCTCCGATCTCGATAGAAAAACTGTTTGAACGTCCCAGTATCTGCCTTGCTTGAAGCTGCTTTCAAATCTGTGTGGTAATAAACAAAAGGTTTCACGTCTCCATTGTTAACTGCTGTAATTAAATCTGACCGCTGAAATAATGTAGGGTCCAGCCCTTCTCCATCTCTTAACTTGGAACACAATGAAGTTCCTATTCCTGCAAACTGTGCAACGATATTGCAACTGCACACGATCGAACACCGCTTCTAATGACGATTCGCTGCTTTATCCTGTTTGAGTAGTGATATTGTGGACTTCACTTTACGAAATGGGAACATTCCAAAAATCATCTAGATTATAAACATGCCCTGAACCATGTTCAGTGCACATCATGTCAAAAAGACATGAACCCTGCAATAACTCTATAAATAAAACGTACAGATAGGTGACTGTGATTTCTCTAATGTGCTTGAACCTTTTTTCTGGATCTCGTTAGAGAAACCTTCAGCAACAAGTGTAGCATCATTTGCCTTGGGATCAAAAATTAGAGATATAGGCTGGATGTAATCATCAGCACTATCGAACAAACCACGCGCTAGAACTCTCAAACTGCTTAAACTTCGACTACTTAATGATAACCTGCCAAAAGAGCAGCAGTAATAGATTCCTTAGCGGTCATTTCCATCCCTTTCATATTCACTACACATGTGCTTCATATTTTCCAAGCTGGTTATCTCAATAGATATCAACGATGGAATGAACTTGGTTTTAGTTAGCAGAAATTATTCTTTATATAGAAGAAGGAAATAGTGTAACATGTACTAAGATACTCTGTGCAAGTCTGAATGCCACTGATTTGATATTCAATTGTTCAGCAAATGGAGAGCTTCCGGAAGCCCTTTAGTGATATCCGTATTTCTCTTCGAACGATAGCTTCTTTCTAGCTTCTTTACGTGCCTCCTTTTTTGCCTTTCTCTTCATATATTGATCCAATTTTCCTTCCTTTTTGAGTTGGTCGAACTTCTTTTCCATATTAATCATTTTCACTTCCGCTGAAAACATAATTTTCATATCGACCCAAACAGGAAGCATTTTCAAATCCATAAAAAATTGTACATCTACCTTTAGTCTTGAAGACTGGCCGCTCTCCGCGCATCATTCTATCAATATTTTCTTGTCGTAGTTCCTGATAAGTCCTCTGTTTTAATTTTCGGTCCGCCTTGGTCTTTTCACGATTATCCATTCGACGAACTGTCTGCAATTCAAAACGTCAAATAGAGAGCGTTAAATAGAAAAAGTTCACGTTTCCAGCATGCCTATATGATAAAGGAAGATTAATGAAGACCACAATGACTATCGTAAAACATAGAATACCTCACGAATCTTCGCGGCCACCTCCATGTCTCCGAATTCTTCACGTTTAGCTGCCTCTTTGGACAGCTCCTGATAATTCAGTTTATACACTAGATATATAAACAGTTACTTTATAATGAGAAGCTGTAGTCCAATTTCACACCGTATGACTCAAAACCACAGAGGAAAACTAAAAAAAAATTTGACGTCACCAATAGTCGTGATAGTTGCGACCAAAACCAAGCCCTCAGCTACCAAGGCGACAATAGTATTGGGAACTTAAAAGGCAAGAGCACCCAATAGTCAAAACTACCAAACTGCAACTTACTTCTCTTTCGTACTTTCTCAAATCATCAAGAAAACTGTAATTGTCCTCGAAGCATCTCTCTTTATATAACCCAGCTCGGGAGTCGAATCGCGGATCCCGTTTCCTGCAATCATAACACAAACCGCTTCCAATGTTTTTTTCTTCCTAACCTACATATCTAGACATATATATAATGCAAGAAGATATATACATATACATACATACATGCATATACACATATATGTATGTATATATATATAATGTAGGCAGCTGTTAGAACAGTGGTAATGATGCCGTCGATTACGAACACGGTGCTGGTTGGATCCCGCACATAGGTCACTAAGCCTCCTATCCTTCTAGAATCGTGAAATTGTTGCCAAACTTGTCTGGGCTCAACTCACTCCCTCAAAACCTCACAGGAACGCTGTACAGACCACAGCGATATAAATTATTCAGCAGACAACACATTCAGAAGCGGTTGTCAAGAAAAAGCACCATTTTTTGACTTACTTCTTAATAGTCTTCATGTTTTGGTATACTGGCCGGAATATGGATACAGGTTTCCTCGATGTTATCTCTTTTGGACGATGTTGACCAAGATGCTGAAAAGCAGTATATATAACATGTTCGTATTACTCAATGATTCAAAAGACTAATAAAAAGTCAAAAAAACCTTGTTCAAGTTTCCTGGTTCCATCCTCCCATTTTCTTCCTTTTCTTCACATTTATGTGTGCCAAAATAAGCCTTGTTGAATAACTTTAGGCCCAACCTCTCCTTGACCTCTCTCACTTTCCCCAGCGGTAAATCTGCCAATTCTAAAAATACAGCCGAACAATAGAGTAAAACAGGAGGACTAAGTCGAAATTTAATACCACTGAATGATTTAAAAATAATTATCTGGAAATAAAAGAGTCACTGATCAACAAAGGCTAACTACTATTAGATTACTGATGCTAGCAGATTAAAAGGAATAAGAGAACGACTCAATAGACTGCCACTTCGCAAAAATTGAGAAAGCTCCAAACATACTAGCTCTAAAGTCCATCACCGCCTCATCTTCCTCGTCGTGCTTCTCTTCCACATTGTCATCTTTTCGTAATGATTCCCCGAAATGATGAAAACTTTGGTGTGGCCTCTCACCATGCTTACACTTTTTTATGATTTTCTCCGACTCTTCAGAACTGTCTTTTGAGCAGTCCACGTCATTATTAGATTCCTAAAATACAGTTGCGCTGCAACTATTCAAATCATCATAAACCAAAGAAATGCTCATCCCATAGGAATGTGAGGAAGATGTTTTTCCAATGCAGTCAAAAGAAACAAGGGGATGCTGAGATGTGAGCAAAACAAGCCTAAATTGGGTTTGGACCTGCGACTACTCTTAGCGAAATCTCTCGTGTTATCAACTGCACTAACCGAAACCCTTGCATGACCTTTCTCTGTTATTCTTTTAACCCAACGGTGCTATTTGGAACAGTTACAGCGTCCAGAAAGGCAATGGAGAAAATTATTCACAAATACTACTCGGATCTCTTCGATAGCCACGTCCACCCTCCATCATATTAAATAAAGGAGGATGGATATGTAGTACCACTGGTTCCCCCTTCCGAAATCCGACATGCCATTTCGTCGGTGAAAAATCGAACAGCACCAGGTCCGGACAGGATAAGACCAGAACACCTGAAGGACCTTCCGCCAGTCCTCGTAAACACACTAACTCGGCTCTTCACACGTTACATGTCTGAATGTAAGGTCCCTACTCAGTGGAAGACCAGTAAGACCGTGTTATTGTTCAATAAAACGTACACGATATCAGCAACTATCGCCCAATCTGCTTGCTGCCATCCGCAAACTTTCCACTCGAGTCACCCTAAACAGTATTGACACAACACTGGATGAGGTACAGTCATGTGAGCAAGCAAGGTTATCAAAGAGGATTTAGTACGATGGACCACATCCACACGGTAACACGGCCCATGGGAGTATCGCGAGAGTACAAAAGACCGCTCTGTCTCACTTTCATCGATTTACAGAAGGCCTTTGATTCAGTTGAGATGGAAGCAGTCTGGGAAGCCCTTGATAGTCAAGGAGTCCCAACTCAGTACATAAAGATTCTTCGTGAGCTGTACAAAAATTTCACAACCAAGATATCACCATTCTACAACGATATTAACAATGACGTCAAAAGAGGAGTTAGGGAACGCGATACTATCTCGCCAAAATTATTTACCGCCACCCTCCAGAACGCATGCGAACATTGGAATGGGATAATATCGGAGTGAAAATCGACGGTCGGTAGTTACCCTATCTTCGCTTTGCTGATGACCTTATAACATCGTCCTTATAACACCAAACGTTAGCCAAGCGGAACGTGTGCTTGACGACTTTGACAAAGCCTGTGGAAAGATTGGTCTTCGACGAAATCTCACAGAAACGATGTTCATGAAGAACGGATTGGTTTCGCATGCTCCATTCACGTCAACAGAACAAATATCTCTAAATTATCCAGTTATGTCTATCTAGGTCGGGAAATCAATATGATGAACGACCTAGCTCCAGAGCTGAGTAGTGAAGAGAACAAAGAACACCCGACTCCGTGCCCACCTTTTCGACTCAACGGTACTTCCTGCCCTAACGTATGCGTCAGAAACCTGGTCGCTGCGTAAGCAGGATGAAAGGTCACTCAGCGTTATCGAACGCGCAGTCAAAAGAACGACGCTAGGAATATCCCGTTCCACACAAGTACGAGATGGGCGATCTGCGTCAACGATCAAAAATTAAAGATGCCGTTCTGTACGCCAAACAGTCGAAGATAAGGTGGGCCGGACACGTAATGCGTATGAATGACAACCGTTGGACAAGAGCCGTTAGTGACTGGATTCCTCGGAATGTCAAACGTACTGCAGGAAGACCACCGACCCGATGGCCAAAATTCTTCACAAAGAGCCTTGAAGAAAGATATGATACCGATCTGTGCTCACCAAACCATTCCCGTTGATGGATGACTGCAGATAGCACAGACCCTCGGTAAGGGTGGTCGCATGTTCAAAGTCCAACAGAAGGTCCGAGCTCTGCTCATGTTTCAGGACTCCTTTAGTTGTATTTCATATCCTCTCTGTCCTGCCATTAAAAAAAATGAAAGTTAAAATGGCCAAAAGATTTCTTAAGAAGTACTCACCCAAGAACAAAAAGTTAAAATAAGTGCAGAAGCAAATTTAAAAGATTGTAACCATTTAACCTATCTACTTACTTGGATACTTGAATGGCCCGTCTTCACTGGTTGTGCGGACCTCAGCATAATTTCCATTTCCTCGGAGTTCTGTCGGTTTAGCTATTGTGGTTCCCTGAAGCCCCGAAGGCAGCCTGGCCAATGCCGGCCTCAGGTCGTCATCACCACAATGAGTCGCTGCCCTTGTGGATCAGAGTGAGATTTGCCACCATGCAACCAGTTTGATACCAGGACGGTGGTGGATTATGGTATTGGTTTACTCTTAGCTGGCCTTCTAGTGGGAATGTCGGACTCCTCAGCTTAGGAGTCCCAGCTGAAGGGATGAATCCTCCAATGTACATCGCAGTGCGACGCCCAGGAAAACCTCCTAACCACGATGACGCTAAACTGTTGGGATGGGATAGGATTTCTTATGAACTATTCAACCAAGAAAGAGCTGAAATGTGTGCAAAACCAAATTTGAAAGATTGTAACCAATTTTACTTCAGTAAACATAAATAGAACTCAAACATCAGTTGTAGTACTACAGCGGTCACTTTCCCAAAACCAGAAGCATTCCTTTTTCAAAAGAAATGCTCATGCAAAATCAACGACGGCATGAAAACAAATCGAGGACGAACCATTCGTTGTTATAAAGATCAAATCATACGCGCACGAGAGATTCTACGAAGGAAAAAAGTGATAAAGGAGGGAATTCCGCAGGAGATGGAAGGAAGACAGCATGGAACTCTCCCCAGCCTCTTATTAAAATAATCAGCAAACTAAAAATCTAAACCTAAGTTAATTTTCTGATTCAAAAAAACAAACGAGCTTTCCTTTAAGTGGCCAAAACATGAACTGTCTCTATAAACATTATCGAGAGTTAGAAGGGCATCACTACTTTAAAGTGGACTGATGTCTTCTGCACATTTCAACCACCTCTACACGCAACCGTAAACAATATATAGGTCACGGAATTTTATTCGTAAATTTCACTCCGCTCTAATTTCATGAAGAAACAGGACAGCAAACCCATGGAGAACGTGCTGTACCCCACAGGACTCATGAAGACAGACCAACCATTTATTCAAGAAATAACATGTTCCCGTTATAAATACATCTTCCTATGTGCTCTTCACACCGGACTGAAGAACCTACTCCAAGAAAACTTTCGAAATAGATCATAGAAAAGATGTGATAATTATTCTCATAAGATGAAGAACACAGTTCAGAACAGAACTCAGTCTTAGTTTCCTCGACCAGAAACCTGTTATATTTTTAATTTTCAAGTATCAGAGGAATTAAAACAATAACACTCTACATGAATACCTTCTTTAGCGTTTGGCATCTAATCTTCATATTGGGGCCAGTTTTCTCCTCATCACAAACACCAGTTAAAGCATGCCCATTGCTATTCAATCGTTCTACATCTTTTGTTCCATGATTTGCATCCAATGGGCTCAAGTTCTTGTGCTATAAAATTTCGTTAGAAAACTTATACGACATTAACTTTCTAGAATTACTAGACAAAAATAATAATTTAATGGTAGAAATATAAGCCAGCGCTTGAATATGATTCAAACCTCCAATATAGAACGTTGAAAACGCTTGGGTTTATTCTCCGGTGACTCTTCCAGAAAGTGGTTCATACAGCTCTTAAAACTGAGTTCATCACGCATAGCGTTTATCATTGGAATCTTAACGAAAAAGGTACTGAACAAATATACTCCTAGCCTGAGAACAACTTTTGAAAACAAAAATTTTTTTTTGAGCCTAGGAATTCCAAGACAAAAATGATATCATCGCAGGAAGAATGGAAGAACTTGAGTGGTACACAGAGAGATGAAAAAAATTAGCACAGCAAAATTCACAAAAAGTTCACTTACACTTAATTCGAAAACGAAATGTGACGAATACACAACTAAAACTATGAACGTAACGTTTTCTTAATTTCTGTGTGAAGCGACTTTTTCTAGGACATTTATCGAACTCCGGTAGGAAAAAGCATAGATAACATACCGTTGCACCATCATTTCCAGTACCAACAAAACGTGTTACGCCGACAACGTCGCCATCTGAGGAACACTTTCCGTTCTCCAAAACACATCCGAGCATTCGCTGGTCAGTACTGCTTCCCTCCACAAGTTTTCTATGCTGTTTCTGCTTCTTCTTCCTTAATACTTCACGCACAGCTTATTTAAAGTCCCACAATCGTAACAGAGTTCTCTATAAACGACCATTGTGTGACGAGAAATTAAACGCAAGATCCCACCTAATATCTTGTCTTACTACTTTTGCAATTTTACTTTCCATGCGTAGTGGAATATTCGATGCAGTTGCTGACATTTCGTCTGAACAATGGGATTTAAATAAAATAGCATAGTAACATAAAACATAGGCAAAATATAAGTATAACAAATACATAGATAGCATAACCTTAAATGAAAACTGCATCACATAACCTCGACATAAGACCTGCACTAGAACGATGAGCTTTTGCACAGTCACCTAACTAGAACCTAGATACCATACATAACCAAATCAACAAAACAACTCCCAACTTCAAATGCTCACCTCTACACCTTCTCAAAATTTGACGATCCAAAGCAATGAAAAAATGATGGACCTTCAGAAACTAAGTGAACCTGCGACATTTACAACCCCTCAGTACTACGAACTGTTACTGGGCTGATACGAGATTGCTATAAGCTGTTGTTATTGTTGTCTGATGGCTAACGTCTCCGCCATTTCACCTTCTCAGAGCCGTGCTGTTGTTGACAGTCCCACTGATAAAAACATATAAACAAATATATCGTTTACTTATATCGAGGTTTATAGAAAAGCGGTCCTTTGAGTTATAAGACTATTGTTGCATTAGGTACGACCAGGCTCTGAGGAAGGCGAAGTCGCCGAAACAGCTATCGAACAACAGCAACAACAACAACAACGACGACAACTTTTACCAACCTCGCATCAGCTCAACAAGAGCATTTTGTAAGAATATATGTATAGATGTATCGACTATTAATGCATAGGTTTATAAAAAGTCGCACTTAAGAGTTAGGGAGAGAATTAACTCATAATCAGAATAAAATCATTAATGGAGCAGGATATAAAATGGTCCGATACAATTCCTGGAACTTCTGATTCTTCCTTCATTCGGTGATCTTTCAATTTGGTATAATGAAACGATAGTTAGTATTCAGTACACCTAACACAACCGCTCATTGTGCAACGCTGTGCCCTGCTCACAACACAGCGACTCATTGTGCAGTACTCAATCTGCGGTGTTCGCAACACAGAGACCCACTCTTTGGCAGCCAACATGTCGTACTCACAACACAGAGGACAATTCTTTGGCAACCAAGGTGCCATGTTCACAACAAAGAGGCCCACTTTCAGGTGGCCAACGTGTCGTGTTCGCAACACGGAGGTCCACTCTTTGGCAGCCAACACCAACAACAACAACTTACGGCAACCTCGCACCAGCTCGACATGATCAGTTCATAAGAATAAATATAGACATATTGCTTATTTATGCCAAAGTGTATAGAAAGAAAGCCGACCTTTTGAGTTATTTAGAACTACGTTGGTAGTTATAAGCTGTTACCTCTGAAACGACTTTGTTGACACAACCGCTGTAAAACTATGGAGATCCATACTAATCACTACCTGCGCGCGCAGTCACCAGTATTTCGAAAAAGTTTACAGTATCCAATTTGGATGCAAGGAAAGAAACTTCCCTAGCTAGACACAAAACTGCTCGTTACATAGATAGACGAAAAGTGGAGTAGTTCGTTTACATTTGCAAACAAATCTACACATATAGTTTGAGGAATTCCGTATTCCACTGCACAGTTAATAAACTGAAATCCTTTTATTTACAGAAAGTACATTTATGTACAACGCAAGTCAAAAAGTATTATGTGAAGAATGAAGAGAAGTCTGCTACAATGATCAGCATGAGCAGCTAGCATAACAGGTAAGCAAAGGTAGGAGAAGCTGAGATGAAGAACGACAAGGTTAAAAGACTAGAAAAGAACACCAGAATACGATACCAAGTTTCCATATGAAAGTAATAGTTATCGACATATTGGACCAACTCCATGTGCAAACAGCACTCACAATCATAAACTTTTCTGAACAAGATACCAAGTTTTCCAAAGTTCTTCAAGGTGCTAAAAAATTCTACGTTGAGGCTATGGTCCAGAAATTCAGAGAACAACTTTCATGACCTGACTAGTAAGTCTTAATGAATTGGGTGCAGAGAATAGCAGTGCAAACAATGTGACCGACTACGGCAAAAAGGAAATAAACTTGAAAAGTACTACGATTTACCATATGAGTCGCTCCTGTACGAAATGAAGAGAGAATTAGCGGTGTAAAAATATATAAAGTATAAAAAACATAAAAGTACAAGGATAGTACAATGTCCCTCTTGATTGTTGCATTCTATTCTTCTACTTGTAAAACCGCTGATATCCTCGTGGCCTATACAGACATCCCGAAAAACAATCCAGTCTCACTGAGACGCGAACCAACTACACGTGAGCAAGAATGGATATTTCCATCCTCCTATGCAGACTATCAAAACGAGGTAATTGAAATGACACACTTGAAAAATTCCCAACTCTCTATGTGACACTAAAGAACTACACAAAGAACAACAATAGGAACACCAGCAAGAAGCAATCGGAACAAACGAGACCGTAATAGGACTGAAAGGCTATGTCACTGGACTATCAATGTTTAGCAAACTACCTGTTTAACGAGAGTGCTATAAAGGAGAAAGAGCATGAAAGTTAAGTCTCAATAAAAAAAAAACAAAGAATGAAAATTACATTGAACCTAGATGTAATAGCGTTTAAGCAAACCTCTCCACAGAATATACCGCCTTTGATGCAGATTGAACACCTTAGAAAATTGACTATATATTCCTTCAAACAAGCTTGACGCTACCCACAAAACCAGCATGAAACACAGGTTTTTTCACGGAGAATCTAAACATGCCTTTACTCCGGCATTCTACACATTCATAAATTTAGGTGGACCATCGTCATCTTCGTCTTCACGTTGAATTCTGGTCTCATCAACTTTTTCCTCAGTCGCTTCGGCAGGGCTAGAACGTAATACCAAGCGACTACGAGCGTCATCTTCAGGCATTACCGAATCTAAATAAAGGACAAACACATAGTCGAAATAAAAATAGCGTTTTAAATACCCAAAACAGATGAAAACAAGTGAAAGATGCATAAATATTCCGAAAGAAATCAACATCAACTCACGAGATGTCCAAGTCTAAATCACTATCCCAACCAGTGTGAATAGATACAATTTCTTAGCCCGAAGTTAAATAGAAAAAATAAAAAAGCCACTGGGATCCCGATTCCCAAAAAGAATAACTTCAGATTAACTATAAATTAGGATTAAGTAGGACTAACGAAAAGAACTTGGGGCTTTTTAAAATTATATTCCAATATCATCCACAAGGGCGCTGAGACATTTGTAAAATTCCGGACCGCAGGTGCCCTTACTCGGAATCGAACACGCTTTTATCCTATCCGGGGGTAACGCGTTCACCACCTTATCATGCAGGTCCTCCGTTTCGCCTATTTCTCAGTTACTTTTTTATTTCGGTACCAACAACGCAAGAATAAAAGTTTAACCTAGAAATCTACCTTCCATCTGACTGGGTTGTGGAACACCAAAAATGCTTTGCATTTGATTAGGTGCCATACTGGTCCCGTAGTCCGTGATTGTGACGTTACTCCTCCGTAAACTTTCATCGTGCATTCCTCGTAGAAACAGCGTCTTTATGCGCATATCTGCGCCAGCTGTATCCATGTCGATACCTAAAATAATGATGAACTGTAAATTGAAATATGACAAAGCTCATTACATATTTGGAGATGACACAATATTGGTTAAAACTAAAGCCTCACAACTATGCTGAAGACTACGCGTTAATGAATTGGCTGCTTCTGGATTTGTTTGGTAAAGAGTGGATAGGATTCCGCCACCAATAGAGTCCAGTGGCCCGTCTATCCGATGTAGACCATTTCCTGCAAAAACATTTGTTTAAAAAAACACTGGATTAGCCTTCAATGATAACATAAGTATTTCGGAAAAAATGATGAAAGATATAAGCTAAGATTTCTAACGGACTGATTTTTTTTTGGTGGAAAAACTGGCATGGGCCTGGAAGCGTTTCTCTAATATCGTACCTATAATTGGATTTCTTTGCGAGACGGATTTCACCGAAGGCATAAGCGAATGCACCGAGTCTAAAAGGAGATTCCTCTCCATACCTAAGCTACCCGGATGCAGCGCTAACGAGATATCCTGCTCAAGCTGAAGCACAGAGTACAGTTTTCTAGGGAACAATACCACCACGAAACAGAAAGTGTGCAGAAACACTGACCCTAGTTTTAAATCTTTGCAGAAACTGCGCACTAGCAAGTGGAGGTTTCCATTCAGGATTCGTTGAAGCGAAATGCAGAACAGAAAGCTCTGTTTTTCCATCACAAGCAGGAACTGAAATATAAATATAACGCATAGTAAGCCGAAAATTGACGTAAAAAATTTTTATAATAGTGTGCAAACGCGGTCCAGAAAAATTTTCTTCCTATATAAAATAACAAATAGCACACTAGATGTGGGGTTTAAGCCAGATCCATTCCATTTCTCATCACCATGTTTTGCCACATCCATTAGCGCAAATGAGCACACGTCTCCCAAACCTTCAACCCGCACTGTATTATCGTGGAAAAATCTCACCAATTCACGGCAGTTTGGACGAATCCTGAGAAAATTCTTAGATCAATAAGTTAGTTGGTCACATTTACAACATAGAAATCAAGTAAAAAGCAGAAATTACAATAACATTGGTTCATTTATCAAACTAAACTAGTAAAGTCGAAAAATTAAAAAAAAAACTCACCAAAACAGAAGAACAAACGGTGTGAGAATTGGACTAGTTAACTCGTGCACCAAAAACACCCACTTCAGTTGGAACAGCTGCTCGAATTCACGACGAACTTTATCGGTATGTGCCTATATAGAATGTATTTCGTAAAGCAGATGATCGAATTCAATTATTTCCGAGGTGCTTTTTCTCGAAAAATTAGCCGCTTGGACGTTTTTGCTACGAAACAGCATTTGTATAGGAAAGTTCTCTCCAATGTCAAAGTAATTATCAAACCTTCCCTTTCCACTCTGAAGGCACGTAGTGCAGTTCGCTAGCAACATTGGTCAGCAGCACTTCCGGCTGCCAAACGAGATTCTCGTCAGAAATCAACCCATGGCAGACTACTATGATTATACCACAGATGGAGATCACCGTTAGAACATGTTCGACCTACGAGAAACACATAATATAACAATGACATGATTCACAATGGCAAATAGACTTCTACACATATGAATAAGGCCGACCACCCCATTTCAAGGACAATTCGATATCAGTCCAAACTAATAAATGACATAAATTTACAGCAAGGTTAGCAGTCGCGCGGCAAATTAACACATCCCTAGGGACGTCAACCGCGGACCAAAACCCGCCTTGTGCCTCCCTAAGCCACAGGTGGATCTAAGAAATTTTCTGTTTACAAGACGAAGCTACGACGAATACTAAATGGACTTCGAGAAGTTCTACAGAAAAGACCATGCATTCTTTATGACCATCACTGAAGATTTCAACGATAGGATCAGACCCAGAAAAACGCCTGAAGAACGGCACATTGGGACCTGCAGCTTAGTATGGAGCGAAAAAGGTGAGCGGCTATCCGAGTTTACCAAGACAACAAGAACCATTCACGGTAACTCACCATTATAGAAGCAGCTCTCTCAACACTAGACGTAGGAGCCTTCAAATGGAGTATACCATAACGAAACAGACCACATCATAATATTATGAACTTAACGTTTTGCCTAACCGATCAGTCTAGCCTCTTTCGCTCAAGATTTTTCTTCTCGCAGAAAGTAAAGAAACCCGCTTAATTCAAAAAAGACGTCCCAAAACCACCACAGAGTGGAATTTATTCAGTTCATTCTTGGCTGTTGGCAAAATGCCATTCTTGATAACAATGACTAATGATACGATTAGCTCATTTAGCATTTTCACGTTGCTGTTTTGAAAGCACGGACTTCCAATGAAACGAAGAGATGCTTGTCTTCAGGAAAACTCGGGTTAATATGCAAACGTGGAATTACATAGGCAGAAGGCCCTAGTCAATTTACGTCCAAGCTTGCAAAATAATGTAGAAATGCTATAAAAGATCTCAAACAGAGAACCGTTGGAGTTACGGTCGAAGCTGCACAGGCTCTGAAAACAATTCGGAAACCCCACCGAAACTTTGCCAATTAGAAATCATAATAATTGCTCTCTGACGCTCAGACGGGACAGTTACAGCTTCAAGAAAGGCAATAGACAAAGTTGTTCACGATTACTATTCACGATTCGGATCTCTTCAAAGCTTCGTCCACCTGCACTCATACGAAATAAACCGAAACCCGATATACTATATCCTCGGTGGAAAAACTAAAAGCACCAGGACCGGATAGAACAAGATCTGAGCACTTACAGAACTTCCCACGAGCACTCATAAACGCACTGGAACGGCTCATTACCTGCCTGAATGCAAGGTCCCTACTCAAAGGAAGATCAACAAGACAGTGCTTTTGCTTAAGAAGAGTATCTCAAGGTTTAACGAGGCAGCTATCCCCCAATGTGCTTGCTGTCTGTAGTCTACAAACTCTTCGCTCGAGTCATCTTAAACAGCATTAACAGGACAGTGGACGAAAGTCAGCCATGTGAGCAAGTAGGGTTTTGTAGACGATTCAGTACGATAGGTCACATTCACACGAAAATAAGATTCATTGAATTATCGCGAGATCACAAAAAACCGCTCTGTCTCACTTTCATCGATTTAAAAAAAGCTTTTGTCTCAATTTGGATGGAAGGAGTTACGGAAGCCTTGGATAGCCTACGAGCTATACAAAAATTTCACCACCAAGATATCATCATTTTACAACGATATTATTATTGATGTGAACAGAGGGGTTATCCAAGGCGACACCACCTCGCCAAAATTATTCACCGCCACCCTCGAGAACGTCATGCAAGCATTGGAATGGGACAACACGGGAGTGAAAATCGTCTGAAAAAAGCAGTTACACCGTCTTCGCTTTGCTGATGACATCGTCATTATAATACCAAACATTAACCAAGCCGGACGTATGCTTGACGACTTTGATAAGGCCTGTAGAAAGATTGGCCTTCGACTAGATCTCACAAAAACGATGTACATGAGGAACGGATTGGTTTTATATGTCCCATTCACGCTCAACGAAACGAATATCTCCGAATGCTCCAATTATGTCTCTCTAGGTCAGAAAACCAATATGAAGAACGACTTAGCTCCAGAGCCGAGCAGAAGGAAGCGAGCAGCTGAGGGAGCTTTCAAGAACGCCGAGGATGTAGTGAAGAGAACAAAGAACACCCGACTCTCAACAGCACTTCCTGCACTAACGTATGTGTCAGGAACCTGGTCGCTGCGCAACCAGAATGAAATATTACTCAGCGTCATCGAACGCGCAGTCGAAAGGACGATGCTAGGAGAATCCCGTGTCACGCAAGTAAGGGAACTGATCGGAAGCTCCGACCTGCGTCAAGGATCAAAAATCAAAGATGCTGTTCTATACGCCAAATAGTCGAAGGTAAGGTGGGCCAGACACGTAATGCGTTTGAATGATAACCGATGGACAAGAGCCGTTAGTGACTGGATCCCTCGGGATTTTAAACGCACTACAAGAAAATCACCGACCCGATGGTCAGAGTTTTTCACTAGGAGCCTAGAAGAAAGATATGATGCTCAACGAATCCGTAGGGCGAGCAGAACACAGTGCGCTACTCTTGAACATGACAGTGAGAGAAGGAAGGGTTATAAGTACCCGCTTAAGTCGCCTCGACAATCAGCGGGACGACAGGTGATACTCCAAGTATTGTTGCCTCAGCAAAGCCCGAAAAATTAACAAGAAGAAAACTTGACATGGAACTTCCAAAATAGAAGATTTCCTTGATAGCAAATCATCAGGCTAGGCGATTCATCTCCCGACGGAGGATAGAGAAATAAATATTGCTCTTAGTCTTTGGCTGTCCACAATTATAATGAGTACGAAATCTCCATTACCTTACTTTGAAAAAATTGATAACAGCTGTGTCTTATTCTATAACAGTAGTCAAATATAACAACAATTAGTCATATACTGTGGATGAAAAGGAAAAAAATAGACTTTCTCAAGGCCTTAAATAAAAGTATGACGAAAATAGTACAGAAAAATATGTCTATGCACGAACCTGCAACACATCTTCGTCCCAAGCAGAAAGAATTGTCAACACACCAGCAATTGCTCCGGCGATAAATGCAATATTCTTTGCGAAAATTTCTGTTAACGTGGAATAGAATTGGTTGAGATAAGCATTTGCGAAAATATGCGACCTGTTCAAACGCGCTGCTAGTTCATGATTCAGCTCATTGAAATGTCGTACACGATACCTTAAAAACACCGTTTACCCGCAAAAATAAGCACAGAAAATCACTGCCAAGTCCTTAAAACCTAAAAACTTTACAACCAATTTGACATTTATAAAGTTCCAAAAAAATGGCAGTTCTACTAATTTAGATAGTTGTAGATATATATGAATTCTTAAAAGAATTCATGGCAATGATGGACAATAACTTTCTATTTCAACTAATAGTTAATACTGATCTGCTATTTCCCCTTAATCACAGTGATAAGCTGTCTAAAATCCAAAAAGGAATCGGCAACAATTTTCGACGAAACTGCAGAAGTGCACGTTAACTAAGGAAAAATTTTGAAAACAAATAAAGGTAGAATAAACGATTAGGAAAACTGTTACTGCCCTTGAGAATACCACGATTTTCTCAACCTTTTGCGCGTGAGTTGTTGTCGAATGCCTTATCTAAGTTACAACTTTACAAAACTCCGGACCGCAGGTGTCTGCGGTGGAGAACGAACGCGCTGTTGTCCTTTGCAGGGAGTTACGCGTTCACCACCACACCATACAGGCCCTTCGTTTCGCCTGTGTCTCAGTTAGTTCTATCGATTACAGCCATCAGCAATCACCCGTCGACGGGACTAGAACTAGCTGAGAGACAGGTGAAACGAAGGGCCCTCATGGTGTGGTGGTGAACGCGTAACTCCCTGCAAAAGACAATAGCGCGTTCGTTCCCCACCGCAGACACCTGCGGTCCGGAGTTTTCCAAATATCTCAGCGTTGTAGAAGTTATATTTCGCAACATACTTTACCGTTAAAAAGAATAGGCACTGAATAAAAAGGTTAAGATTGTGATTATAAATTTAGTTAGAATTTTACCAAAACAATGGCCGCAACAACAAAACGGAATTTCTCATTTTCTTTATATATCACGTTGGTTGAAGAACAGAGCGTACCAATGGATCACATGAAGTGTTACAAAACTGTATCATTTTCAACTTTTTTTCACTACCTCTTACAATTTTCCACGGCAGGGTATTAAATGAAATACAACCACAATGATACTGAGATATTTGTAGAACACTGCAGAAAGGTATGTACAGTTGCGATCGAACACGCTATCAGCCCTTCCGGGGACTGAGGAGTTCATCACTACACCGTCCTTCATTTTCTTCAAATATTTCAGTATTACTGTGGTTGTATTTCATATGTTGTGAAAAATTGCAGTAGGCAACAAACAAAATGTTACCATTGCACCACTTTTATCCTCGCATAGTTTAAACAGTAACGTCCTTACCTTCCGTAATTAGAATATCTCCGCATTCCAAGAGCATCTTGACGTCGTTTAACAAGCTCTGATAGTGTGAAGAATGAGAACAATACTTGATAGAGGAATATTAAAGGAAAGAATATCATATTTAGAAAACCATACATAGCCACCTAAAAGTGTAGCTTTTATACAACTTGCCGAAAGCACCTGAAGTCTGATGTACTAACATCCTTCTCCATCTGTCTCGTTAATGCTTCAAGATTATCGAGATCCTTATATTCTGCTTTCAAATAAGGTCCAGTCCATGGGGAAGTGGATCTAAACTATTTCATTGTCTGTACTTCATTAATGGATAACATTAATGGCTTAGTATTGAATGAGGAAAATGTACCCAAAGAACAGAATACGTCGCAAATTCGATTTCAATCCATTGGGAAAATATAGTACAGGTCCAATAAAAGGCACATTGATTCTTGGTGGCAAAATACTCTACAAAACATGGTATAAGTTCAGTTTGAGGTAGAGACAAATTAGTTATCACTTACTGTATTCACTAGTGCAACCAGATAATTCTTAAACCGGAGAATACGATTGTAAAGGTCTATAGGAGTAACGTGCTCTCGATCAACAATTAACTGTAAACGCTTTTGAACCTGAAGTTCATTGCGGTAAAACTGATACGGCCTTACTGTAAACAAACAGGTAAAAGTACAGCAAAAATCACAAACAAAACGAGGTTAATCAAGTAACGAACTTCACAGATACGTTTGACAACAGCATGCCACGTAAGATTCGAAAGCTGTGCGTCATCAATACGCAGCTCAGAACGGTAAAACAGTTGGATCTGAAAGTAAACAGCCCCACTTATACAAAATCTTTGTAGTACTAAAATAGAAAAAAGTTCACAGCATTTCAGCCAAAAATGGTACGTCACTTTGAGATCAAAAACATTAATAAACGGTACATGGAACGAAAGTTCTGACCTACATGTAACGAAGAAAGAATAAGACCCACGGGTAACGAAGAAAGGATAAAGGATAGAGTTCTTGATGTTGATCAACCCATGAAGGATGCGCCATGCATTCGACTTTATTAAGCATCGTTACAGGTGATTCAATACATATCTGGCCTTTACAATGACTCGCGGTGGCCTACCTATGTATCGAGCCAATGCTAGCATTCTCCCAGAAAAATATAGTACCAACGTGCCGACCCCGAAGAGATGGAGGGGTTCATGAGAATGGGGTGCGCAATTGATTGCATGTGTATTGCAGGCTGGCTCTAACCACCGTGCTACATGCGCCCTTTCCCACAGGTAAAACAAAGAAATAATGTACTCAACATTAGAGGCACAACATTAAGAAACAGTCTTAAAAGATCATAAGAAGGTCCAGCATGCCTCATGTAACTGAAGTAAATAATACGTTGTTTTGACCACACGCGAAATCCAAAAAATGATCGCCACGAGTATTGAAAAAACGACAAAAGGATGAAGATGACTTGAGCAATTCCTAATCACGGCGTCCTAAAGAAACATTTCATTCTTTACCACTGGGAAAAAAGAAAAAGGTTCCTGAGAAGTCCACTAAAGCTTATCCTTTTAAACTAAATGTGTCGCCTTTAATGTGCTGACATGAAGTTCTTAGTAGTATGTGCATTATTCTGTAAATGCGAACGTTTCACTATGTTTGGAGCCGCTCTTGATGTCTCGACAATCCTGCGAAGTGCGAGTACTCGCACAGTTTATATATTAACTGAGGAACGATAACCCTAAAAATTTATGAAAATAATGATTTGAACTACTCCCAACGGTCTACCACCTCAATTCAGCTAGAGAGGTGTACCTGAGTGTCGCACTACGATACACGGCGGGTGGATTCGTCCCTCTAGTAGGGTCTCCCAAGCTGAGAAAGAGTCGGGCATTTCCATCAGGAAGTCCAGCTAAGAGTAAAACACATAGTATACAATACCAGGATCCAACACCGCCCTGGTAACAAACAAGCCGCATGGTTGCAAATATCCCTCTTATTCACAAAGGCGGCGACCTCTTATGGTGGTGACGACCTGTCTACCTCAAGACTCCAGGGAAATACAATGGCTAATTCAGCAAAACCCACACAAAATGGAAATTATCCCATCTAGGTATCCAAATATCCAAGTAGTAATTTGAATTACTACTCTACACGTTAACATGATCTTTTGTAGGCTCCAAATAAGGCAAAATCCGATGGAACATTAGCCATCTTGTATCAAATTCTACTCTAACAACTTCATGTTAGCTCATTAGTAACGCATTGATCTATGTAAAGTTTGATTCTAAGCTCGTCTTGGAAAGTTTCAAACTAACACATCCAATAAATGTGGTATAATAGAAAGGTTCGTTTGAAAAAAGTGCAAATCATAAAAGCAAACAGTAACATACATTGAAGCTTCGTTTTCCCGTTATTTTATCACCCATGCTGGTTACATTCTTGTTAGCAAAAAGAACGTCATAATCGACGCACTGCGTGAAAAATGTCGAGAACGTCTGCAATGGACGGATAGATGTACCTTCACGAGAGAGAAACGGTGAAAACAAACATAACACTTGCAACGAAAAAAAAGCGGAAGCTATAACCTACTACAACAAACACGAACTGCGCCAAACTTAACATCTTCTTCAGAGCAATTGTCAAAAAACCGCCACCTTGATGATATTCGTAAACCAAAGTGAAGAACTGAAATTGATTTCACTTAAGAACAGGCACAAGCACTCTTATAAAAGTAAAAAAAAACGTATAAGAGACCCTATCTGGATCTTCAATGTGATCCCAGCGGTGGTTATTTCGCCGAGATGACGATGACATTACTGCTGGTGCCGGATTTAAGCCGGATTCATCGTGTCTCGAATCTCCTACGACATGATTAAGAGGAGGAGAATGATAACCATCGCCGGGTGTTGATGAGCCCGAAATCCTAGAACTCCAATACTGCCTTTTTTCTTGACACTTTTAAAACTTTTCTTTTGAATCTCCAAAACTAGAACTAACTTAATTTATCCTCATCTAAATACACCGTAATCTACAATTTCAAATAAATCTCACTTACAATGATAAACCTTTATTTGCTGCCTACTATAACTTCTTTTCATGGCAGGGTATGATGCGAAATACAACCATATTGACGCTGAGACATTTGCAAAACTCCGGACCGTAGGTGTCTGCGGTGGAGCACAAACGCGCTGTTACTCTTTTCGTGGACTAACGCGCTCACCACCACACCATGAGGGTCCTTTGTTTCGTCTATTTCTCAACTAGTTCTGTCAATCAGTGCCATCATCAATAACCCATCAACAGGATTGATCCGGAGAGCCCAAATCGGCATCAAACCCAGTTAGACTGAGGTTGTAGTTGAAATCATAAAGCTAACTTTTTATTTGCTGCCTACCATAATTTTTTTTGCTTTTGCTAATGGCGCTGATCGATAGCGCAAGCTGAAAGACAGGTGAAACGAAGAACCCGCATGGTGTGGTGGTGAACGCGTTAGCACCCGGAAAGGGTAATAGCGCTTTCGGCCCCAACGCATACACCTGTAGTACGGAGTTTTTCAAACATCTCAACATCACTGTTGTTGTAAGTCTTACATAGATACTTGGACGGCCCGTCTTTATTGGTTGTGTGGGCCAACTTAACCTCCAATTTTTCCGGTTTTGCTGACTTAGCCATTGTGGTCCCCGGAGCTCCGAAGTCAGACAGGCCAAATTCTTTCCCAGGTCATCACTACCACAGGCAGTCACCAACCTTGTGAATCAGAGGGATATTTGCCACCATGAAACTACGAGGACAACAATGGATTCTGCTATTGATTTACTCTTAGTCGGCCTTCGTAAACGCCCGACTCCTCAGCTTGGGAGACTGCTGGTGGATGAACCCCGCTGTACATCGCAGCCCCACACCTAGTAACACCTACCAGCCACAATGAACCGGTAAACTATTGGGAGGGATCAATAAATTACTAACTGTAATAAAAATCCTTCAGTTTAACAGATTCTGCAACCACCTGCTCATTCATTGAACAATTTATTCTTCTTAGGAACTAAAAGAACAACATTGGAGGACTGCTCTAAACCCACAGTGGAGAGGATTCCGTGTTACTTGGTCCACCACCGAACAGCAGATTCCGTCCAGTTGCCACTATTGGGAAAATACTATTACATGTGCTTGACTGTCTTTCTCCATCGCCATAATCGTCATCTATCCGCTGAAAACCAACACTATTCAGATCAATTTCAATAACAACACTAAACTCTTCAAATCTTCAAGGGACTCGAAGGAAACAGGATATTCTTCAGCAGACAAATTAGCAATTCTAAAAATTAACAGAGATCCCACGCATGTCAATAAAGAGTAATCATAAATATAAGCATAGAATGAATAAAGAACATAGCTGAGGCAGGATCGTCGAAAATGCTATCCTGGACTCTTCAAATGTACGACACGATCGGCAAGAATTTCGGCCTGAACTGGGATTACAGTCACTAACCTGGTAGGATTTCTGACTTCTCGAAGCCCACATTCACAATTTTTGCTAGGCAAGCAGATTTCAAAGGTCTGAAAAAAAGTTAATGTTAGGGTTCTAACAAACAGTGGTAGGGTGAAAATTGAGTGACAGGAGTTATCCAAGGAGCAACTTTTCACTCTGGACTTCGATCACTTCGACTGAACTTGGATTTTAAACTCAGGTGAAGTGCCGGTTTGCCAAGACGTAAAGTCTTCAAATTACCCAAAAATATACACAAAACACCTTAGACGCTAAAACAAGGTTCTCAAGTACGATACCTCAGCGCGTGTAAAATGAAGGAAAAGCTTGGCAAAGGATGACACAGGAACTTTGGAAAACATTGGATTCACTTTGCGCCTTATCCAGTGCCTTTTCCAGTTACACATGCCAGCACTAGAACAAACGACGGCTGATACTGCATCCAGATTTCCTGGTCACAATTCCATCTGTTCCCTATGTAATGAAAAATGTCACATGATAGAGATAGATAGCATATTTTTCAAGGATTGATAATTTTCCGACGAACTCCGTACACTCCCTGGTGCTTTGGTGATTCGTAGAGGCAACAACAGTCCCCAAAATTGGTACTATCTTCCGTCTTTTGTCCAGATACAACCATAATGAAACGTTGATATCTCACGTTCTCCTAAAATCACCACGAGGAACGGAGTTAAATTTTATTCCGTGTAAAAATACATCTCGACCCTTACTTATATGCTTAACACGCCATACCCAAACACCCCCGAAAAATTGAAGAACGCACAATCAAATAATCGCGTTGATAAAGTGAGACGCTCCCTACACCCAAATGCACTAGTTCGCAGTTTGTGGAATACCTAACAAAAATCGGATGGCAACAGCTCTTCACGTATACATCAGAGAACGGAATCCCCTATTCGTAAATAGAACGCTGAGCCCTGCTGCAATATGGGGATCATCGATAGAAATAAAACCTTCAAGCGATGTTGAACATAAGCTACTATAAAACCTTCTAGGGACGAAATATGGAGAGAAAACACCATTCAACAGCAGTCACTCGGTCGCAAAACTACAACGTCAATCAGCTGACACTAAAAAGAAAGCGTCATTAGGCGTGTCGCTGCGTGAAAACCTCCAATATCCGAGTGTATTCGACATTCGTGAACATTTTGGTAGCAGATCTCATAAGTATCGAAAACTTTACTTCCAAAACTCTTTTTAACAACTAAACTATCGATTCTTAACTAATAATGATTCTAAATAAAAAACAACAAAACCGGAAAGAGCAGGTTAAAACAGTGATTAAACAAAAAATAATGCAATGCCTTAACAGAGACACAACATAAGATTTCCTTAGTGGATCATAGAGCATGATGTGACCGATTTGTTGACGACTTCGGTGGTGGTGATTTCGAAGCATCGATGGAAATTCATTCAACCGGAGCTGCTCGTGATCGACACACCACAATCAGGAGTGCCAAAACCGTGGAATATTTGTTGCACATTAAAATGGAAAAATACGAATATGTGTTGTCATAGCCTAGCACTATAAACGATTCATAATGGAACAGGCAGAGACTTAATGTTCTTACTCTTCGCGTTTTTACTTTTCTTCTTCTTGAATGAGTATTAGGTCACAAAGCAATATGATCACCACTAGGACACCTTTAGATTAATTAAGAATTAAGAAAACAGCAACTAATAGGAGCACAAGGATACAATGAAGTTAAGGATTACAGTATTATTTGACCGATAATTCACAGCTATCCTCTAAGCACTGACAATGTCTCGTTCAGCGCTTGTAGCCATGCTTCAAGCAGCTCACTGGAATCAGCAGAGAGCAATACACTGAAACAAAAACCAAAAACTGTAAGCTATGCAATAAACATATTCCAAATAAAGACCTCTAAAATAGATGTTGATTTCCCTAAAGACAGTAGAACTGTTACAACAGCCGAACACACCGCCGTTTAATCTTTTCTATTCCAATCGTAATAACACCAAACACATGCCAATAACAGTTCATAGCCCGGAAAAGAATGACTTCTGTAGTGATTAGCATTGATCAGATTCACAAACGTAGTTCTATTTTAAACGACCCTACATCACAAGTTGTACAGATACAGATTTAAGCGCTTTAGTTCAATTCTTTTCTTGTATTCATCATCAGCCGAGGTCTTTTGATAAAGGTTCAACTGCTTAGGGGTTTTCACCTCCCTTTTGAATGTTGTTCGAGTAGATTCCCACCAAAATCCGGAGACCTCCCTGTACGAGTGTTTCCTTATATTTACCACAAATAAGCTGCCGTCTTTATGAAACGAAGTGAGCTCTTGACAAACAAATCTGGTGCCACAAATACTTACTACCTAATTTCTCCTGGCAGGCTACAATTTAAACCACAGTCACAAGGATGCTTATACATGAGCGAAATTCAGAATGTCAGTTGTACTTCGAATCCGTTACCACCCTTTTTGGCGGCTCTCGTCTTATCCACTTCACTAACCCATGTCCTTGCTTTGTCGTTCTCTGGGCCAGTTTTTGATAGTTCAACACCTATGTTCCAAGTTTTCCTCAGATTTCAGCATCCTTGTGATTGCATTTCACATAATACCCCGCTATAAAAAGGCAAAAAAAAGTCAAAACAATGTAATCTTGACTGCAGCCTCAATTTGCTTGGCATCAATTCAATTCCGACTTATCTTCGCTAGAATATTCTCGTTGAATGGTGAATGCTAATAGCACCGTTAGAATAAAAAAGTGGCTGAGAGAAAAGCAACGCAAGGCCTTGGTTGGTGGAGTAAGTCACACGTGAGCCCCAGGAAAGGCCAATCGCGAAATGTGGCACTAATCTCTGATCCCAGAGGGACTGTGGTGTTTGCTCAACCCGGTGTCGGGTCGCAGAAAAGGCCTCGCACGTACTGAACACCACCACAACGATAGCGCTACTCACACCACATCGCAGTAGATAACATGAAGTAACTCCTTGGAAACCACTAAATAAAGCTATCACAGGGACAAAAACATGAACAGGAGTGCCTGAAAATCGAGATCTGCCATATTGCTAAATAGACTTGCACGTTAGTAAACGATCAAAAGTGAACCTATTCAAGTTAATCCATTGTGAATCTCGATGATATGAGGACAAGAGACCACAGGTTCATCCGAAGAAACTAGACTCTTGCGTAGGTCAGCAGCTGCATTAAATTCCTTATGATCACATAGCAGTACAACAGAATTGACATGGTATTCTAGGAACGTTCCCACTTGAGCAGACTACCTCTTAAGAAATGTTGCTTATCTTGTCTCATATACTACAGACAGACCATAACGCCAAAGGCTCACTAACGCTCTCGGCGTTGATCAATCCCTAAGGGATGCGCCGTGCATCTGACTTCAGTAAGCATCGTTTAGAAGTGAATGAATGCATATCTGGCGTTTACAATGACTCGCGGTGGCCTACCGATGTATAGAGCCAGTGCCGTTATAGTTTACGACAAATCTGGTACCAATTTACCGAGTCCGGATGAATGGAAGGCTTGGTGGGCCATGGGTGCGAAGATAGATCTCACTTGTGTTGTAGCGCGGCTCCGACCACCGCACCACACGCGCTCAAGACAAGCCATGGTCACTGAGTATTGGAAATGCTCGAAACTAAGATTTCAATAGTGAATGAACAGATTTCTAGGAAAATGAAACGTCTATGACATCTACGTGACATTTTAGCAGAAATGTCATCACTTTGCATAATCACAGTGATCCTTTTCACAAAACTACGATTTTAATACGATTTCAACTTATTACTTACTGAGTACTCTTTTTAACGGCAGGGTATACATTGTGAAATAAAACTTCAATGATGCTGAGATATTTGCAAAACTCCCCTTCGTTTCGCCTGTCTCTCAGCTAGTTCTATCGATCTTTTGCCATCAGCAATCACCTGTCATCGGGATTGAAATGGGGGACCCGCGTGGTGTGGTGAACAGGACTCCCCGGAAAGGACAATAGCGTGTTCGTTCCCCACCGCATACACCTGCGGTCCAGATATTAATACGGTTTAGCCAACATCGCCTGAAAAATAACACAAATGGTGGGTAGTTGAAACTATGTCTACTTTTTACTGTTTGAGGAAATGGAAATAACTCCTCTATCATTCCGACATGCCTTCTCCACATGTTATGAACCATACTGTTCCACTGATAGCTAACTACTCCATGAATAGAACTCAGCATGGATGCTCTATTTCAAGGCTGATGTCACTACTTACTATACGATCCAGTATCTAATCACACCGTTGTCAGCTATTGGAAATCCGTTTTGCAATTCCCACGAAGTCAATTGCAGTACCTTTTAGATCTACCAATTCTTCATTTCGAGGTCAACTTCATATGTCTTATACAATGAATGATACTTGTATTCTGACAAGCCCCAGTTTTTTCGATGACCGAGGAATCTATGATACTGACAACTTAACATTGCTATAAAACAGACTTTGCTGTATTACTACCCCCATAAGTAGTTTTCCAAAAATATTCTCCTAATTTTCAATTTATTTGAAATTCAAGTTTTCAGAAACAGACCGCTTAGAAATAAAAATAGAAAAAGGATATCATATGACACGATATCCACTGCATATAAAGTGTCCTTCTTCGCAAGCTCATCAAAAACGAAAGTTGTCGAGTTTCACAATCAAGGAAGTGTTCGTGGACCTAAGCGAATTCATGGCATGCTACCTCTCCGGAATTCAACAGAACTAGATTATAAACCGAATACTAATGATCATGATTTCTAAAACAACAAAATGCTACAACAACAAGAGTTCACAACTATTTCTAAATAGGAACTGAGTGGATGCACGAATGCACGCTTTGTGAACACTGAGCCAACCTGAAGTATATATTTCATTGTAACTATACCTATACAAGTTTCCTGAATAATTTAAGTTTTCGTAACGAGAAGGTCTCCAACTTCCTATCGCTGACATATCTTTGCATTATTCAGCCAATCCACAATACTGTAGTAGATGCATAAACCACTAAAATCCCTAACGAAAGGCAAATTTTCTTCATGAGATGTGGAACAGAACATTTCTCGCACCTCACATTCGTGTCGGGTAAGCTATCGACGAAATATAGAGAAAACGGCAAGGTAAAAAATTATAAATGCACTGAAATCAATGTACTTCGTCCACCCTGCCTGAATATATCCCCAAGTATGCATTTGCTAAAGAAACTGCCACTGTACTAGGACGAAGAACGAGTTCTCAATGATCACTGAAATCTGAGGAAACCACAAGCTAAACATAGATGATTACGTATTGAGAAAGCTTGCACCAAACAACGGAGAAAACCTCATCGTCAAAAATCTCCGGATGAGACTAAAATATTTTACTGTTCTAATAAACGAATCCGTATCCTATCTCCAACATTACGAAGGAAGCTCTGGCGAAGAGAATTCTGAGTTGCTCTTTTGCTGCAACGCAGCATCAGTGGCTCTGAAGTACCAATGTCATCTAAAGTACCAATATTAACTAGGTTCGTTGCCGATTTGGGCTCCCTAGATCAGTCCCGTTGACGGGTGATTGTTGATGGTGCCGATCGATAGAACTAGCTGAGAGACAGGCGAAACGAAGGACTCGCATGGTTTGGTGGTGAACGCGCTACTCCCCGGAAATGACAACAGCGCGTTTGTTCCCCACCACAGACACTTGCGGTGCGAAGTTTTGCCAATATTTCAGCATTATCTTAGTTGTATTCCATATGATACCCTGCCGTTAAAAATAGTAGGCAGTAAATAAAAAAGGGTAAGACTACCAATGTCATCGTTGAAAACTGCTGATTCCACCACATATACTGCACTGGTACATGGAGCGGGTAGTGCTGTAAATTAGGTGAAAAGTGGACACGGAGAAAAAATTTCGCCGGAAATATGACTAATTTCGGTAGTGCTGGTGGATATCGCATTCGCACAAACGGCCGCCATTTAATCCACTACACACTTCTGCTATTGCTTAGTGGACAAGTGAGATGTGAGCCAACACCTCAACCACATCAAAAACTGTTTGCTAAACCTACAACGCGTGCTTGTCGAAGGCAAAGGCGCATCCAATAACATCCGAACTCGAAACAAAATCGATGAAACACGAACCGCTTTTTCTCCATAATTGACGGTGTTGTAGAAACTAGCATATCAATACTGAAGGAATTCTCTCTTGGACACTGCTCTAGGTTGCATGCAACCACTACGTCGTTCGTGCATTTGCTGAGGTCCATGAAGGCTATGGGACGCTGAAACATAAATAACATTCGCAATCAATTGCTACAAAATCATTACAATGTTAACTTCCCAACTGCAAAGGTAGAGTAGTATAAGCCAAAGTAAACAGGTTGTCTACTAATGAAAAACGCCTACTTTCTCCAATGACTCATCGTCCGGATAGCGCCAGAAGTACACCATACCACGACGCAATACTGCCCAGTAACGCTCCCATGACGCCATACCACTTATCGTTTGATACATAGTCTAAAATGAAAATCAAAATAATGGCTCGCAAAACGACACTTGAAGAACTAGGATTAAAAGGAATTTTTAGATGCAATGTTATTCGTGGTCAGCAAAGAGCACTGTTACAAGATATTCTTCATTAAATTAGAACTTACAAATGAATTAGAGAAAGAACCTCTCTATCGTAAAAACAATTATTTTCAATAACATAAAAAACTAACCAAAAAACCTCTATTGTCGACTTCGATAGCTGGTGGTAAAGTGGTGCAACGAGTATACACCTCAATTGTACCCTCGAGAGGATATTCCGCTTCATCAAGATAAAACTTGTTGGCTCCAACAGTATCTCTGTTGAGGATTACATATCCACAACAAACAAATTCGGATACTTGCGCGTCATTACGGGAAGACACGTAGTTCGGACGATAGGAAACTTAAAAAATTTTTCTTCACAAGAATTTTTAAAAAGGAAAAAAAGGGCAACGTTAATAAGCGTAGACGTTTCGCTAAACGCGGGATAATCGTGTAAGAACTAACAACCTGGATTCAATAGGCTGCGACATTTGTTTGCAATATTAGTAGCACATGAATGCTCGTTATCTTTTGAAATAGGCAGCTTCTAAAAATTCCCACGTAGTGTTAATTAAAGACTAACATTTCAGTACAAAACACAAAATTACAGTAGCAAAATTCGAAAGGTTAAGTTATTACTTGATAATTTCTCGATAGTAAAACTACAAACGACCAACCATTGCGTACACTTCCACAACAACATTGAAATCGACAGGAAGATTAGAGAACTGAACGTGTTCAGCAAACGTAAGCTGACGAACTCGAACTTGATGATGTGTCAATAACGAAATCGGACCTGTCGCCTCCACTTCGGTACCACATTTCAGAAGTATTAGAAGTGCATAAGAACAGTCTGAAAAGTTGAAAAAGATTGTTCAAAGGATTGAAGGAAGCAGAACAGTACAGGATGACAAGATCTACTTAATTAAGAGTAGTTAACTGCAACGCTTTCAAAACCTCATTAGAAGAACTACCCAGAATAATTAACAGCTAAAGATTATACCTTTCGAAACAGTAAAACCAAGCCTAAGCCAACTATTCAAAGGTGACTACCCATCAATCAATTCATAGCGTCGCCTACTCTGGTAATAATAAAGTTCTCACCATGATCAAGTTGTCGCTGACAAAAACTTCTATTCAAATGAACTGTTATATTTGATATCGTCATCGTTCCACGTAACTCTCGACAAACTGGCGGTGGCGGATTTCGAACTGCTGACAACGCCGAAATACGATTCACCTCGCACCGCAACAAGTCAAGACGTTCACGAGCCAATAATAGTGTACGCTGGGCAGATAGCTGGAAATTACATCTGATATATGGGTGAACCTTTCAAATCACAGTCAATAAACATCAGATATGGCGTTGAAAATAACACCATAGAACTTTCCAGTTGCGCATTTTGTTGATAACCACATAGTTTCTTCTGCGTGAGAAATTCAACAGGATAAAAACATATAGAATGGAATACATAGATTAGTTCTAACCCAGTTATCGTAGCTGATTTTGCTAGCACACGTACATAAATTCATACGAATAAAGCGCTCCAAAAAATGTTTTAAAACCAGGATAAGCTTCTACGAAATTTTGGACAAAATGACAAAACCGGATATTGTACAACAGCAATTCGCACCCTTTTTGTGTTTATCCACACAGCAGATCATGTTGGGTCTGCCACTGCTACTTTCAAATAAGATTGTATAAACATGCCAAATTAATCAAAATGGCTTAGCAGTTGGAGATTGCGTGATATAACCTCTTATTTTCCATCGGGGACGGAACACATTGAATCCAATGCATATTGCACAACCTCTCCCAACCCTTCTTTCAAGTATCCCAATTTTAGGCTCTTCGTGCGATACGTATCTATTTTTAAAGCAATTTGTTATGAAAATACAACCACTACGATACCCATACATTTGCAAAAACTGGACCGCAGGCCAAATTCGAACTCGCGATTATCCTTTCCGGTTGCAGTTCACATCATATCCTGCCATGCAAAACAATAATGGCAGTAAATCAAAAGTTAACAATTTTTGTTATTCACATTCTATGTTCCCTATGTTCCACGATGCACTTAACCGCCGTAGTTCTTGAAAAATTTCGATCTCCTGTGCATTGTGAGAATGTGTGCACAGTTCAATCACGATGCTGTCCCTTTTTGGTATGGTTTTGTAAGGTAATTAGATTGCATCTAAGTTTTTATACTTCGCATACTCTCTTCTGATTCCATAACAATAATTCCCCATATCAATTTGACAAAAGAATAAAAAAACTTTGGAGGCAATTGAAATGCATATCTTTTTACAATGATTCGTGGTGGCCTACCGATGTATCGAGCCAGTACTTCTACCCTCCCAAACAAGTCTGGCACCTAATTCCCGACCCCAGAGGGATAGAAGACAGTGGGCCACGGGCGTAGAGATCGAATATACATGTGTGTTGCAGTGCGCCTCCGACCACTGCGCCACACACGCCCAACGATTGGAAAGGAAAAGAAAACTAACCGCTGATGCAAAATGAGATCCTCTAACCTGAAGAGCGGATTATGAATTGAAGTTTGTGTCCGATAAACTCCTTATCGAGAGTTAATAAGAAAATGAGGACACTAAGGAAACTGATGACAATGACAGTGAACAATTTTTGTGCCTCAAAGTACTACTGGCATTTCAAGAAAACAGTATATGGTATGACATTGATCAACACATTGGTAAAACAGCCGCACCACTTTTTGTCAGCAAGAAAGAATACCCAGACTTGAAGCTTAAAACCCGAAAGAAGACCATTTCCCTGGATATGGAAAACTGAAAAAACATTGCTTCAAATAAGCATAGCACAGGAAATGTAAGAGGACGATTGTGAAGTGTTTGTCACGATCGCCGTGTAGCACTTCCTACTTCTCGGATACTTGGGTGGCACGTCTTCACTATTGTGTGGGTCCCAGCATAATCTTCGAGTCCTAAAGTTAGCTTGGCCAAAGCCTGCCCCAAGGCAATCACAGCCCTTGTGGATTAGAGAGAGATTTACAACCATGCGACTTTGATACCAGGACGGTGGTGGATCCTGGTAATGGTTTACTCTTAGCTGGGCTTCTGGAAACGCCAGACTCCTCAGCTTGGGAGGCCTTGTCGGAGAGATGAATCCCTCCCCTTCCCCTCCTTCTCCTGTACATCGCAATCCGACATCCAGGAACACCTTTCAGTTACGCGATGAGGTGGCAAACTAGGAAGCGTGTAGTACTCAAAAACAACAACTCAAAAAACTTCTGAGACAAATCATAAATTTCAAAAAATCGGAAATGAGTTTAAAAGACCAATAACTCGTAAGAAATAACCATCGTAATACGTGATTCAACGCCTGACTTTAGATCAATTTTCTAACCACGGCGAGTTTCGTTCATTATAACGCAACGTGTTTTCAGTTGAAAAAAAAAGAAAAACAGAGACGATGGTTATTTCTAAAAGCATACGACCTTGTTTGTACACTAGTTTTCATTGGGATCATAGAACATTCACCAAATAATAAAGCGAAGGCTACACAGCGATACTTTTCAAACCAACCGTAATATAACCTCGCTAGTAAAACGACGAACTTGTTTAAATTTTTGAGCTTAAACGAAACTGATAAATTTGTCTTAGTTGGCTTACGTTCGGATGTCTTCGCCGTCACATCCGATGATCCGAGTCGGTGGTCCACAGTTCTTCGTTATCTCGACGTAGTCGTACCGACACAGATCTTCTTCAGTGAACACAGCACAAATGAGGCATGCTCATTCGGCAAAACTCTTTTATACAGGGCAGCTGTTGATGATATGACTACCTGTCGATAATAGTATTTTTCAAAAGATAATCCACCCTGCGGATAACAGATTAACAATCTTATATTCTAAACTTGAAATAAATCCTTCAAACTAAGAATGGGAATTTTCACGAATTTTGAGTTTATTTCTGGTTATTTTCTTTTAAAATCCACTGCCGGATGAGCATGCCAGATTCGTGCGGTTTTCCACTGAAGATCCGTCTCGATACGACGATAAAGACGCCACAAAGAGATAACGAACAACTGTGAACCACCGACTCAGATCATTCGCTCTGATGAATACGAAGACGTCGAAACGTTAGCCGAGTAGAACAAATTTATCAACCTCGTGTAAGCACAACAATTCGAACAAGTTGATTGAACAACGATACGTCTAGGCTTTGAAAAAAGCGAAGATGCGAAAGTATTCGTGTCGAAAAATCAAAGATACATGTTAAGAACCTCATCTTGACTCATCAAAGAGAATTTCTTTAAATAACACACAAGGAAAAGCATTCATAAACGAGTCCTCTAAGAAGATAGCTCCTTGAAAATAAGGAAATTTGGTGATACCCAGCAAAAATCTATGGCTAAATTTCATCTGTACACCCCTTTCCAATTCATCAACACCTCATGGTGGCGGAAAAGTGTTCGACTTACGTATAGACATAGAAGAAAGTTCTTAGCACCTTCCAAACCAACAACGCCCTTCATTGTACCTTCCATATACGGTTCAAGAAGACAAACAAACACATTCGAAAGATGTTCAGTAAGCTAATGCAAAAAAGGCAATAAAAAACTGTGTGGTGGAAAAGAAACGCTTTGGTCTATTTTGACCAATCTGCCTTTCACCTTACCTCCTGCATAGACTTCTGTTTTTTTCTTGCCAATGCAAGAACTTTCAACGTCATGTCGATCTGTTCTTCTTGAACATGAATTTGATTGTTCAGTTTCTAAATGAATACAAATGAAAAGATGGATGCACTAATTCCACTAAACACATAAAACGGATTAAGATCTCGGGGTTGATGAATCCCTGAGGGATGCAGCCTGCATTCGACTCCATTAAGCATGGTATGGAGGTGACTGAATGCATATTTGGCCATTACAATGACTCGCGGTGGCCTACCAATGTATTGAGCCAGTGATACTATCCTTCTAGATAAGTTTGGTACCAATTTGCCGACCCTAGAGGGATGGAACTCTTGGCGGACCAGGTGCGCTAGAATCGATCCTATGTGTGTTGCAGGGCGCCTCCGACCACTGCGCCACATGCGACCTAATTTCACTAAGTCCTGAGGTCATGCAGTTTCAACGAGCGTCAAAATATACAAGAACTTAATAATGCTGCTAATTTTCAACCTTGCACCCGCTGCCAACATCGTATTTGCTGTTAAGGTGTTTAGATAATGAACTAGAAAGAAACAATTGATAGACAAATGCAACGAAAGCAATCAATGGGAATCTCATTTCTAAATTCATATTACTAATAAAGGGCTACTCAAATAAGCCTTGCATCGAAACCATTTTGCAAAGTAGGCAGACCTAATTTCAAAAAAAAACATATTTCGGACTGTCTGTAATCTCCCATGTTGTCGTGAGCAGAATCATGGTATTTAACATACATTCACCATATATTCTTTGAGACACACAGCGAATTGTCCAAAATTCTACGATGCGCTAAGTTCCCACCGCAATTTGTCGCTTGTATTCCTCATGGGTGTCGGGATGATTGCTGGCCGCAGTTATGGAGCTTACAAACGAATCATCAAGATTAGGAACTGCTGAGGTTCCTGAACAAATGGTAATGGTAACGGTTAGTTCCTTAACTACAATTACAAATAAAAGAAGAAATGGTTCCAGTGTAACAGCCTATACAATCTACTCTTCAAAAAACGTATACGATATATGTATGTCTTATTAGAACACTCCCCTTGAGAGTAACCAGTTCCCAGAGGTGAGTCAACAGGAGTGGAAGTGGCTAGAGCTGATGGATGTGTGTTGGCAGATCGAGGAAGATGATTGAAGATATGAACCTATACAAGAACAGATAACATTTCTTCGGTAATGCCCAACACTGGCACCATTAAAATTAAGCACTGTATCGAAGCTATAGACTTCTAAAATTAAAAGATAGAGGAAGACGAACAATAGGCGAATAAACCTTTTCACCGATTGTTCCCTCTCTCGATTTATATGTACTGACACCGATTCCAGCAGCTGGCGCAGTAAGAGGTGAAAATCGAGCTGGAAGATCTACCCCAGCACGGCTCATGGGCTGCATAGTTCGATAATGACTCATCTAAACGTTGAACGGGAGATTTGATTTTAACCACAACGTCTTTCGATTGCAAACAATCGCTGTTGACAAAAAACTTCAGCATTCTGACGAGTTCCTAAGTCAGTACCAGTGCTTATGGAAAGTAGGCATTACGTTTTGAATTAACTGTCCAACATATCTTTGGCATTTTGTGATACAATATACGACCAAAAAACTTACTGAGTATTTAAGAGGGTAATCAGAAGAGGGCTGTTTGGGCGAATAGATGCCACCGGACGTAGAAGGTGGAGATGGCTTCGGGAAAATCCCGGAAAGACGGCTGATGCCGTCGTCTCGAACGGTTTCAGTATCACCATGCCTCAACACCGAAATCCTCCGTTCTGACAGTGTTTCGCGTCCAACTGTGCTGAGTTCATCGTGCTCCTGAAACAAAAAGCTCGCAGTCGAAAAATTATACGGCTTCATTTACTGAGCTGATTTCATCTCAATTCGTCAACAGTAGATATCCTACCATTTAAGACGTGACCAGAATCTAAGGACGATATAACCCAATAACACCCGTTATTTTCACTTTTCTCCTTATTAGCAAAATCGCAACCAGTAATCATATATAGTTGTATAATTCTAAAAACCGTCCAA